AAAAAATCAAGCAAACTAATTACAAAGCACATGCCATGTTCCTCCCAAGGAAGTGAGCATTTCATGGGACAAGTTAATGACTGTTTAATGACACTGGAAACCAAAACAAGTGAAATGGCCTTTGTCGAGTACAACAGCTTCACATAAGACTGTGACAGATGAACCCAATATTAAAAGACTGTGGTCTTTTTTTTTTTTTTTTTAAATGAAAGATTTGGCAATCCCTGCCAATCTCTGCCTTGCATAGAGTTTTATCACCAGTTGTCACTGTTTAGCTAAATACAAGAGGTAATAGCTGGGCACTGGAAGTTAAGTCAGCCAGACACTCCTGCTTGTTCATCACCTGTTAAATCGTCCAAAGGCTTAGACATAATGTGCCTTCAAAAGCAGACTTCTTATGAAAAGTCTTGATAACCACATTTTTCTTCTACTTTCTCAGAGAAACTTGATTCACTGAAAGATGAATGTCCTGTTATCTTGTAAGATAATGCCTTGGACTTATTCAGCACCTACTAAATTGTTAGGTTTGACTAGCTAGTATTTGTACAGTGCTTTGAGATATCCCAAATGGCAGGAGATGTGGAAATGCAGTACATTTTTCTAGTAAAATGCATCCTACTACAACATCCAACCTCTTTTGCATTCAACCACTAATTGGCACTTCCTTCAAACTATGGCAGTAGACTGTGCTTCCTGCTAGGAAGTGGCAGTAAAACTGCTGCATTCCGTGAGCAAAACAGAACCATTCAAAGCCACAGAGACAATGGAACAGCAATAAGTGCCCTTGAAGCATTTAGGAACGTAATCTTTTCCTCTTTTGATCTAGCCAATATATTAACACTAATCACTGTAATTTTTTTTTTTAAATATAAAAGAGAAGCCAACAGTTACAAGACCACATCTGTTTTTTTTATGATTTTTTTTAATTAGATAACTATAGGTAGAAGTAACACCTGGGATCAGGATAAACTAAATAAGTTAGCAAAAGGATTTTCTTTCCATTTACTGTGAGTGACAGCACTTCATAAAGTTGCTTTTACCATTACTTCTGCAATTAGTTTCTTGACGGTTGAAAGATCCTTATAATCTGAATGGTGGTGCAAAAATAAAAGCCGTACAAAATTCAGAACAGTATCAAAAATACAATGGAATTGGAAAATCATTTTTTAAATGTAAGTGGATAGTGTTCTTTCTTTTTCTTTAAAAAAAAAAAAAAAAAAAAAA